CATTCATTCCTGTATAGATGCATTTTAAGTTAATCAGTTGTTAGCTAGCCTCTGTAATAAAAACGAGGGGGTTTCAAAATCTCGCACAAAAGTTTAAGACATAGAGGCTTCAATAAGTCACACCTAAATCATCGATAGTTTTCTAATAAATTTAAACGAACTGATAGACTATAACATAATCATCAATTCTTATAATTTTTATAGAGACGATTGAAGAAATCGAGAAGAAGAAAGGTGGAACAATCCCCAAAAAGACAGTAGAAATAGGTAATGAAGTATGTATGATAATTCTGCTGTTAACACAACTGCTCTCCAATTTCCTTTCAATTCTCATTATTTTAATCTTTCATTGGTACGCATTTCAATTTCGATTGCTTCTACGTACTACCTAACTTTGCCAGCATATATAACATACACCGCATAATGAACTTCTAACTCATTACTATTGTAGAGAAAATATTAGTAAACTGACCATATTCACTATTGATTTCATTTAGAACTGTAAAACTTTTACATTAGAAGTAATTGAGAAATAGATCTAATCACTAAACTTGAATTTACAATGAGTTTTTGACGAATGTTTATCACACTCAAGTTTGTAATTTGTGATCAGTTTTGATCATAATCATGAACACCATATCAATTATGTTGTTATATCCATACCTCAGAAACGATCGAAGAGACGAAGAAGAGAGAAGGTGGAACAGTCCCGAAAAAGACAATAGAAATCGGTAATGATATATGTTTGCTTAACCGATATTCTCTCATTCATGTCTTGATGAATTCGTTATTTATCATTTATGTTTTACTTTGTATTATAGAAACAATAGAAGAGACGAGGAAGAGAGGAGGTGGAACAATCCCGAAAAAGACAGTAGAAATAGGTAATGATAAGTGTATGCTTAACCGATATTCTCTCAATCATGTCTTGATAAATTCATTATTTTCATACAAGCTTCAGTGACAAGTACTTTCTGTGTGCTCATATCTTTTTGTGTTCTCAATTAGTAGACTAGGATTAATGAAGGATCTAATGATAGTGATATTGAAGTCAATAAGTTATAATGAACTCAATATGCTTGAAATGTTTTAGAAATTGTTTTGATTATTAGACTCTTGAATGTCGGTTAAGACCAACTGATAAGTAATAGTTGATATTATTTTAATTGTATATACACAAATGACTTTTCTCTTTATTACTTCTAAAATTTAAAAAAAATTCCCATGTTGTGATTCAGAACAACATATATAAGCGGTCAATATTGTTTTCGATTAGATCTTCATCAGGAGATGTACCTGTTCATGTTCTACGTGATAGACTGACTAGAGTAGTTAAGAGAATGTTTTATGCAGCCAATATCTGTCTATTGTACTCGACCCTATCTATGGTAAACCCTCAACTAGAGGATAAGTTACCTGTTTATGTTACTTCTAAGTGTATCTACGAATTCAGCTGTTTCTGTGGAGAAAGCTATTTTGACGCACTACCAGACAACCGAGCCAAAGAGTTAGTGAACAACTCACTTCGTCGTTTGGAAAAGTTACTGTCAAGACAATACGCAGCTCGATTCTATCACACTTGATCGATAGCGGTCATGTAGTAGGCAGAAATAAATCATTTGAAGTTATTTATCGTATTCCTACCAGTTTTCCTTATGGGATTCGATCTTGTCAGTTACATACAGCAAAAGCCATAGGAATTTCAGCCAACAACCCAAGACTTTGTGTTCATAAAAAATTTGTAACGCCTTTATCTCTCCCTCGATCTTAATAAATGATTTTATCAATCATTATCCACACTCCTTCTTCGTTTATTTTTCTTCACACCTTCTCAACGTTTTCTTTTTTTCTAAAATATACGTTTCACTGTCCAATTATCTGAACACTTCTTATAACGTAATCTTTGGATTTTTATGAACGGTAATTCAGTGTCCATATTTTTCAAATCATTGACCTATTTCTGACTATGTGACATTGATTCAAGCCTTTATGATTCTTATCATTACTAGTAAACTTGTCATCATACTACCAATTTGTGCTTTTCACTTATCATGTTTATTTATGTAATTTATTCCACTGTTATGATTGACTTATAAACTTCCTTGATTGCAAGCAACGATGGATAGTGGTGAGCAGTGGAATCCAGTATGTGCGTTTCGTCCTATTTGCGACTAGTCAGCTGGATGTATCTACATGTCAGAGTTGAGGAAACAGTAGTAAACTGACCATATTCACTATTGGTTTCGTTTAAAACTGTAAAACTTTTACATTAGAAGTAATTGAGAAATAGATCTTATCACTAAACTTGAATTTACAATGAGTTTTTGGCGAATGTTTATCACACTCAAGTTTGTAATTTGTGATCAGTTTTGATCATAATCATGAACACCATATCAATTATGTTGTTATATCCATACCTCAGAAACGATCGAAGAGACGAAGAAGAGAGAAGGTGGAACAGTCCCGAAAAAGACAATAGAAATCGGTAATGATAATATGCATGCTTAACCGATATTTTCTCAATCATGTTTTGATAAATTCGTTATTTATCATTTATGTTTTACTTTGTATTATAGAAACAATAGAAGAGACGAGGAAGAGAGGAGGTGGAACAATCCCGAAAAAGACAGTAGAAATAGGTAATGATAAGTGTATGCTTATTCGATATTCTCTCAATCATGTTTTGATAAATTCGTTATTTATCACTTATGTTTTTCTTCATATCACAGAAACAATAGACGAGACGAAGAAGAGAGATGGTGGAACAGTCCCGAAAAAGACAATAGAAATCGGTAATGATAATATGCATGCTTAACCGATATTTTCTCAATCATGCCTTGATAAATTCGTTATTTATCATTTATGTTTTTCTTTGTATCACAGAAACAATAGAAGAGACGAAGAAGAGAGATGGTGGAACAGTCCCGAAAAAGACAATAGAAATCGGTAATGATAATATGTATGCCTAAACGAAGTTTTTTCAATCATGCCTTTCTGTGTTGTTCGATGAATACCATATTTATATGAAAAATGATAACTGAGTGCTCATATACTCATTTTTGTGTTCTCGATTAGTACACTAGGATTAATGAAGAATCAAATGATAGTGATATTGAAATCAATAAGTTAGAATGAAATCAATATGCTTGAAATGTTTTAGAAATTGTTTTGATTATGAGACTGTTAACTGTCAATTAGGATCAATCGATATGTAATAGTTGATATTATTTTAATTGTATATACACAAATGACTTTTCTCTTTATTACTTTTTGAAATAACTATGACCTCTATTTCCTTCTATGAAAAAAATTGTTCGTTGTATATATGTATATAATGAAGGAGAAAGTAATCAAGAGAAATGTAATGGACAGTGGTTTTGGTGGATATTGTAGTAATTTCAATAGTTGAGATCATGGGTCAGTTAAATTTAGATGGCCATGAAAAACCTGGACTCACTGGATAGCTGTTTTATCCCATTATGTAATGATTGATAGCAACATTAATCATTATTCATTTGTATGGTGTTTCAGTTGCTCTATCACACACTCAATAACACCAAATCAATTATATTTTTTTACTTATACCATAGAAACAATAGAAGAGACTAAGAAAAGAGATGGTGGAACAGTCCCGAGAAAGACAACAGAAATAGGTAGTAACCTATCAGTTGGTAAAATTTTTGAAGCTTATTATATTCATTAAGTTTTAAGCTTTTACTAAATATGAATAAACACATTTACTGACAAAAGAAATCTTATTGATGTAAAGACTACAGAGGTTAATCTTCCTAAATTGTACTTTGTCACAATTTTACAATATCTTGATTGTGGTATTGATTTATTTTTCAGAGACAGAAGATATTTTGAAAAAGAGAGGAGGAGGAATTCCTAGAAAAATAATAGAAATAGGTAATAAAGTGTATTAATGCATTGAATATATCCTCAAGCATAGTATAATAATGATTTACTGTTTCATTGTATTTTATGACTGACATCTTGACAACAATGTTAAGGATCTTATGAAGTACATGAATTGTCTGTGATCCCCTATTATCAAAAGCAATAACATAAAGCAAAATATATGATCATATAATAATTCGATTCTTGATTTGTTTATTTGTATGTCAGAGACAGAAGAAACAAAGAAACGAGGTGGAACAGGACCAAGAAAGACAATAGAGATAGGTAACGACATGTACTATATAAACAGATCGTTTTTTTTTAAATGAACATCTCTTTCATCTATTTTCAGTCACATATCAAAATCTTTTGTGGGTTTATTACTCCATATATTTGAAGATGATACACATCGACATCTGTTGTTTTTATTGTCATGCTCATCAGTCAGAATGACGTCAGCGAAATTAAATAAATAGAATACGTAACTCCAGTTCACATATTCAATGGAATACAATTTGGAGATATTTCTTTTTATTATTAGATGTATTTGTTATTTACTGTGGAAATAAGGCATTACATGTATTGAAGTAATTTAAACCTGATTCTGTCAAAGTTTACCAATACACACTGTCAGTAAATTCCAATGGAATGTTTTCACATCACACCCACTCTGATCATTTTATTTAATTTTTCAGAAACGAAAGTGGAAACCACAAAAAGGAAGGGTATACCGATTCCAATCTAAAAATTCACACCCCTATATTTTGTCGAATGTTATTTTTCAATAATTTGGGCTGATGTATCAACTCCTATGAGACAAACACTCTTTATCAGAGATGCTACGTCGTTAAAACACAAGAATTCAGTGATTTGACTATTTCCTTATCTGAGATTATAAACTGATGATATTTAAAGCTCCTTATTTACCAGGTTAATCAATAGATCCCTATATCCTTTGGAACTATATTTTCTTAGTTGAAAGTGATCAACAGAAATATACATTTGTGTAGCGGAACCTTTATAACTAAACAATTAATAGAAAATTTATCTTATTTACTATAATTCATGAATGATTTTAGTATTAAAGTTTCTAATTAAGTATGACTTTTATTCATTTTTCAGAAACTGTAGTAGAAGATACGAAGAAAGGAGCCCCACGTATACCAAGAAGAATAGGAATAGGTAAGATCAAACTTTTATTTTACTTTCTTAATGCTTCTTTCTATCTCCTTTTATGGTTTCTCAACTTGACTCCTAATTGCATTTTTGATTAATTTTCTTGTTTTATTATATATTACATTGTTTTATGTGTGTATAGCTTCTCTCCATGTTGAATGGAGAGATAAATTTTAAAATTGTGGAAATCTTTTCAATCTGTCAATAATTATATTACTAATTCACTATGATTAAATACTAGTCCAGAATATATTTCAAGCTATACAATATGTTCGAGTCCTGGATACGGTATTGTGGATGCGTACTACTGATGAGTCCCATACATGAATGAAATCGCCATCCAGTGTTTCCAGGTTTTCAATGGTAGTCTAGCTTACATCAACTCATGAATTCAACTTATAAAATCATTTTAATGTGTTTAATATTAGTCTTTGACATAATATTGTATATAATAATTTACTTATTTGGTGCATTGTTTATCTTTTATATTTTCATTTCTTATAGAAACTGTAGTGGAAACAATTAAAAAGGGAGTTCCACGTATTCCAAAACGTAGAATTGGAATAGGTAATCAGATATTTCTCGCATTAGTTTTGTTTCTTTTTCCTCTGAATTTATTCCAATTTCGAGTGTTCATTTACTATACATCTGATATACATCTGATTGATAATATTTTATTTGAATAAAACCAAATATTCAATTAACAACAGTAATATAATCCATTACTATTATTATCCACACTGATTATAATAAATAACTTTCTCATCACTAAAGTGCACTATTATTACATTGTTTCTATGTTTGTTTTTCTTTTGTTTGCGTATCGGACTGTCATTTTCGTATTGCCTTAATTCACAAGTATTCCAAGCAAAGATGTATAGTGGCTAAGTAGATAACGCGATAGCGTTTGAAACGAACGATACTAAGTTCAAGTCCTAGAGTGATTATCAACTCTGAGCTGCAGGTACATTCAACTGACTAGTCCCAAACAGGATAAAATGCACGTCTTGGATTCTACTGTTAGCCACTATCCATCTTTAATCCTTCGATTGTTCCCATAAAATAATATTCGCTTTTTTTATATGAATGTAAACTGAATTCTAACTAAGAGTTTGTATAAGTTATATACTTCTTCTAACCAATACAACAATAGAAATATTTTGTTTTATTGAAATCGTTTCTATCCATCCCTTTTTTTATTGTTAATTTATTTTCTTTACACAGAAACTGTAGTGGATACAAGAAAGAGAAAGAAGAAAATAGGTGATGGTTCAAGTCATTATTATTATAGTCACTGAACAAATATTAAGATTTATATTTTATTAAAATTCATTTACATATTGATTTCTATTTGTATGATACTAGATTTTGATGGAGTTTTGTTCTCTGAGCTGGATGGTTTGGTCGTGGAGCTTTGATCGTCCTTCTGAACGACATCATCAGACTTCTATCTGACGTTTTTGTTGATGATGTCGTCTAGAAGAAAGATGAAAGCTCCACGACCAAACCATCCAGCTCAGAGAACAAAACTTCATCAAAATCATTCACTTGAGCTACAAATCTTCTCCATCATCTCAATATGATACTCGTAAAATTTTTGTTCCTTTATTAAATATAATTCATATAATTAATTGGTTTGTACTGATTATGTATAGATAAGCTGAAAAGAAAAAACGATAAAATGGATACCAGTTAACACGAATAATCAAATGGATACAAAGTTATCTATCGCTTCACATCTTTCTTTCTACGAACTAAATCTTTCTTCCTGTAATGTATTCTTAGATGCAATCTTTCTTTTATATATTACCACCACTGAATTAACTACTTATATGGGTCCGGTGTTGATCTTGTTGTGTTAATGAGGTATGGCGATTCGGTCCGATGCACATATGTACCTGGTCCTGCGTTGTAGCTAATTGACTGACAGAATTTTATTTTGTATGTGGTTGTGTAACACTTTTTTTTCATATTTTTAGATAAAGTTGTAGACACAGTCAAAGTTTTATTCCGACCACCAAAACGAAAACCAGTAGTCATGCGTAGAGGTAGTATTTCTTAATATATAATTTTATTTTAAATTATTCATACGAATATGTATGATTTATCGGTGAAATTATAATTTTTGGACGACATTTGAGCGATGCCACAGTGATCTCGAGAGTGTTCATCTAATAACGAAGACCAAATGAGGGTTATCAACTAGCGTGGGGAATTAGAATTATGATTTACAGTTGATAGTTAGAGTTAAGAATTAGATTTCGGGTTTTCATCACAAACTGGCATCAGCTATGATGTCAAAACTCTATTTATTCAAATGAATGAGTGAATTTTGTGCCAAAATCCAAGAACTGTTATCTCAAGTCTGATTGGTTCGTTCATATATTATAGTCTCACCGATTTATCTCTTAAAATGACTTTTTTACTTTTAAAGAAAATAAGCACACTGAGAAATTTTGAATTTCGGTATTTTATTAGTAGATTTTTTGATAAATAATCATTCTCTAATGTTTCATATATGATCTCAATGATACAACAACAAAAACGTAAGCATAAATACACTGAGATCCAATTTTCCTCATAGTTTAATCTAGAATAATACGGCACAACTTCTAAATTACTAATACTGAATGATTACAGCCTAGTTAAGCGCCTTGCGCGAGACTGATAGGCCCTGCATTCGAATCCCTTGAGGGAGGGTCGTGGATGCGCACTGCTGAGGAGCCCCACAATAGAACGAAACAATCACCCAGTGCTTCCAGGTTTTCCATGGTGGCCTAGCTTCAATTGACTCATGATCTCAACTATTGAGATTACTACAATTTCCACAAAGCCCCTTCTGATACATATATATATTTTTTAATTTTCAATCAATTTAGGAAGCTCTAATAACTTTCCTAAAATACAAAGAATTGGTTTACGAAACCGGTTATTTTGAAATATAATTCACAATGGAACAGGATTCAAACGACAAACTATCATTCTTGGATGTATTAATCACTAGAACCGATCCAGGGAAACTAGAGACTAAAGTATGTAGGAAGTTAACCCACACAGATCAAATTCTCAACTACAGTAGCAACAACTCAAGAGCTCACAAAATCAACTGAGTACAAACTTTGTTCAAGAGGGCGAAGAAACATTGCAACACACTGGCAGCACGAGAAAATGAAGAGAAATACTTGAAGACCATCTTTCAAAAGAAATGCTACCCAATCAACTTCATCAAAAAACACCAGCTTCATGCATCAGCAGAAAAAAATTCAAGTACAGAAATCAACAAACGGATTACCCTACCATGCATAAAAGGCATATCAGAAACTACGACAATGATGAAACCCTATGGAGTAGGTGTTGCAAACAAACCAACATAATCACTACAATCACCCCTATGGAAACTAAAGGATGAAATGATAAAAGAAAAAAACCAAACATCGCCTACAAAACAAATTGTGCCAACTTTAAAAAACGCGACATCGTACAAAGTCAACGCCCTCTTCATGAACACCAATTAGCGTTCAAACGCCATGACATGTCCTCAAATGTATCAATGCACGTGAACTACTGCGGACAAACATTCGACTGGAAGAAAATATGGAAATTTTAGATAGAGGCAATTCCAAAAAGACCAGATAATTTTTAGAAGCTTGGCACTCAGGTCAATCAGTAATCAACAAGCACGTTGAAATCGATCCAATTAATCAACCAATCAGGAAAATTATAGACAAATATTGGACCAAAAATCAAACCGATGGGAGATACAACCACGGCAAAGAAGTAAACAATGACAAGTTTAAGATCAACAAGAACCAATCAACATCGAAGTCTACAGGACAAGCTGTGAACGACATGTGGAGAGATTCGAACACTTCACTTCTATCTGAAGTTTATGCTGATGATGTCGTTTGGAAGAAAGATGAAAGCTCCACGACCAAACCATCCAGCTCAGAGAACAAAACTCCATTAGAACCTTAATGTAATAAGTGGAGACTAATCCCTTCAATGTTACTGACTCGTTTTTACTCATCACTAATGTAAGTAACTTAAATCTCTACAAAACTATAAAATACAGAGCCAAAATCGAAAACTTACACATAAATTAACAAGATGAGCAAGCTATTGTTAAGAGAAACTGAACACAAAGATATTATATACTTAGTATTCGACTTAGAACAGTGGTTCACATAGTGCTTTTTTGTTTCACTCAATTGGATACAATTGCCCATAAACTGAATTGTAGATTTATGAATTGACATCTTTTTAACTAATTGCTGTATATCTGTCTGTTTACTTGATTTTTAGGTGGGGGTATTAAGGTACATGTTGGAGGGAGAAGGCGATGTGGTGGTGGCATTAGAATACGTCGAGGAGGATGTTGTAGAGTTGGTGGAGGCTGTAGGGCTCGTGGATGTTGCCGAGTTCGTGCATGCTGCAGGACTCGCACATGTCGCCGTGCTGGTGGATGTTGTCGCGTTGGTGGGTGCTGCCGAGCTCGTTGCTGGAGTGGCAACTTATAAGGACTGTTATTTTCTACACATCATTCAATGGAGTTCCGTTGTTCATATATATGCTACATATAATTGTTATTTAAATAATTTGTAGCGGTTTTGAGTTACTGAATAATAAAGCAACAATTCATTTTAAAGTACTTGGAGCTTTTTTATTTGATAAAATAATAAAATATCCAAAATGGAAATCAACGAATTTAGTGGTTACCAGTATAGTTCAGAACCCTTGATCATCCTGAAAGAAATCAATTCACAAAATGACCATAATAATTATAAACTGGATACCACAATATGTGGATAAATACATATTAGAACTTCGCATTCCTCAGTAACTTTCTTACAACAATCAACAACATTATCACTGATCACTGAGTTATTAAAAATCTTTTGGAACACTTATTAGATGATCTAATGTAATACAGAGCTATTTCGTAAACTTACTACAACCTAGCATATTACCTTGCCGTTTGCTATGAAATCTAATTAAAAAGAAAAGTTAAAGAAATATATCCCTCCACATACACCGATTATGCACACTAGTCCCACCCTGCACAGTTTGAGACCACCTTGTTAGGCTTGGGACTAGTGCAATTTTCGTTTTGATTGATGACGATATCCCAGACAATTATTATATGCTTATTTCTTGTGAAAGTATTTATGATGTCCATGAAAATAGATGAAACAATGAGGGTCAAAATCCATTTTAAAAAACAGACAAAGAAAATTGTGTTTATCAACGAAATATGGTTAAGAGGCAGGATACCATGAGAAAATAGGAACATATTGTTTGCACATAAATGAAGCAGATGTATGATCCCTTTGTGTATTTGTTCGCATGTGTGTATGTTTGGTTGTGGAAATTCTCTTCACGTGTGGATTTGATACGAAAATAAACCTTTGCTTCGGTTCCTTCACTGCAATATTTTGTTTGCGTTTTCATTCCAAGTAAAATTATTATTATTCATTTAACATACAATTTTGTTTTGCTTATTGAACTACTATTACAATTAAAAGTATTTGGAAGCAGTATCTTAACCATTAATACACAGGACTGTTCTATTCGTACTCTGGTAGTCATGTATGGACCAGTATTCAAGTCAAAGAGAATTATGTGAGTAAAGTCCAGAGTAATGTATTCGGAATTCAAAGCAAGAGTGGAATAGCATACAAAGGAATCATTGTTGTATACAAGTATCACGTTTACCTTATTCGTTGGCTTCTACTAAGTTCATTTTGTTTCCACTGCTGCTATACTGACTCTTTGATTCTCAGCTATTGCCACGTGAAATTATGGGAATAAATTACTTTATAATGGTAATATAATATTTCCAGGTTGTTGGGAGTGTTTCACTTTTTAATGAAAAGGTAACTCACATTCATTCTACGTGGATTAACTAATAGATTTTGTACTGAATTCATGAACTGATCTAAGTTCCACCACAACTGGAAACCTGGAAGAACTAGACGGTATTTTTTTATCGCAGTATGGGTCCCCTTAACAGAACACATCCACTAGCCCTCATGCGGAATCAAACCCAAGAACTCCAAACTCACCTGCAAACGCTTAATCTGTAGACCAATAGGATGGCATCCAACTGTGTTAATTCTTAACCTCAATCAATTCACAACATTTAGTGTCTAACGTTTAACTAGAAATTATAAGAAACCTATATGACAACAATTTGAAAGCTAAAACAAACAATCTACTATTTGAGCTAAGATATATACTTGATAAGGAAAATGATAATGTCAGAGGTGGATTAATTTTATTTCTAAATAAAACAAGTAGAAACAGCAGGTTTTCTTGGAAATCAGATTGGGGAAATAAATAGACTGTGTGATTTCCAGGGATGATTTAAGGTGAAATTATAGCAATATTTGTAGAGTCCTGGAATCCATTTCATAGGATCTGCAATAACTTAGCGCAGACTATCTTCAGAGAAAACCTTTAGAAGTACTGACAGGAATTATCTTCCAATACAAAAACGTTGGAGAGAGATTTTTTGAAGTCATAGAGACATTTACCATCACTATGATTTTTCATAATATCCAATAATGTTTTTGTTCAGTAGCATCATGAAACATGTTTTTGACTTGTAATACTTTATGAATACCCAAAGCAGTTGTAAGCAGTAACAACACAACAGGTTGGACGCACATGCTGTAGGCTATTATTGTAACGGTTTCCGAATACACCTGTCTATATTATCTTTTAATCTTTTACATTGTTTACATCATTAACAGAAACTCTCAAATTGCCATGGTCAAAAAGGTTTGCGCTAAATTTCAATGAGAGGTTTTACAATATTAGACATACTGATAAATCTCTATGTTGCTTGAAAATGTTCAAGTTCTCCTTGTTTAAAGGGCATATATTTACACTAAGTGAACAAGAATACAATCGGTAAAATTTTCTGACTATCCAAGTGTGATAATCAAGAGTATTTGAATTATAGTATGAACTAAGAATCCCAGAAATAACGTCTGTCCGACATTCTATTGGGTAAAAACTGTTATCTAGAATGCACTCATTAGTATTAGAATTAACAAACGA